TTCTTTCTTTAAGGAAGAGAAAACATGTCTCGAATCTTTTCAGATCTAGCTGGCTGCCAGCAGTGACTTGCCCTTACCCACAGGAGTTTAAGAGCTGAGTGTGGACTGCCCTTTGTGCAGACTGTCCTTGCTGAACTTTTCTTTGGCTAGACTAGACTTTGGCCTCTCACAAAGCCAGTAAAGTGAAACTGGCTTCTGGGAATGGGATAGGAGGCTGTTTATCCCATTCTTCCTTCTTTGGATTGTTCTTAGTTGATCTCCGTAAACTAAGTGGGTGGAGGTTTGAAAAGGAGAACAAGATGGTTTTGCTTGTTTTACATTTTAAATTGTGGTAGTATAAGCAGACCATTTGAGGAAGGATTGAGTTTGAAATTTTTTTTGGTCTTTTTTGATGGGGTTTTTCAGTATGTTTCAGGCAGACCTTAATCTCCTGTTAGTCTTTCTGCCTCAGCCTCCTGAATCTGGCTCTGAGGGGATTCTTTTGCAAAGTTGCCCATTCAGTGGGATAAGATTATGGAAAGCTTGAGAGATTCAGTGTAAAAAAAAAAAAAAAAATCCATGATTCTGTTGCCCAGCACAAACATCTTTTCTGTGTATTGTTTTTTCCATCTTTAATGATGATCCCTGTATATTCAATTTTTCCTTTTTTTCACTTAGCATTATACTATATTTTCCACGCAGTAGCGTGAAATAGATGAGCTGTGATTTAAATCTTTTCCTTCTCTATATGGACTGTTTCTTTTTTCATTTTAAAGAGAAAAAAACCATAAAAACAATAATACAAACTTTCAAAACAAGATAATAGGAAAGTAACAATGGTTATCACATTGCATATTATTATCTTCAAAGTAGTTACTTAGATTACAAGATATTGGCATGAAAAATTGATCAAACAGGGGCTGGGGATTTAGCTCAGCAGCATAAGCACCTGCCTTGCAAGCACATGGTTGTGAGTTTGATCCCTGGTACCAGTAAAAAAAAAAAAAAAAAAAGAAAAATTGATCAAACAGTATACGCACAAACGTTTTCAACCAAGAGAAAGTAGTGTAACTATCTTAATATCATATATGTATGTATATATTTTTCTTTTCCTTTCATTGTTTTCTCCTTTCTCCATGCCAGTTTCTCTTTCCTTTTGAACAGTTTCTTCCCATTTCACACTATTGCACGTTTTGTACATTATTTACTCTATTAGCTTCTTACACTAGGCAGACAATATGATATTTACAATGTGAGTCTGATTTATTTCACTTAGAAGTATGTGGATTATTTCTAAGTGTGCCTAAAGAAGGGTTTTTAAAAAAAATTTTTGGTTATTTGGTTTAAAAAAATGGCTTTGTTGATGCATAATTTACGTAGCATAAAATTCACTCATTTAAAATATTGAGTGCAAAGATTTTAGTGTATTTACAGTTCAGTAACATCACCATAATCCTATTTATTTATTTTGAAACAGGGTCTCACTGTGTAGTTTAGGCTGGCCTTGAACTCACTAGCCCAGGCTGCCCTCAAACTCATGTCAACCCTCCTGTCTCAGCTTGTGGAGTACTAGGATTACAGCCATGTGCCACCAGTGCTGGCAATTCAGTTTTCAGCTACCTTCATCCCAAAAAGAATCCCATTAGCAAACACTTTGCCCAACGCTAGGTCACTGCTGATCTACTTCCTTTCTATGTACTTGCCTGTTTGGACCTTTCATGTTAATGGAATCATAATATGGTCATTAGTGACGGGCTTTGTTTACTTAGCATAATGTTTATTTTGTAGCACATATCTATACTTCATTCTTTTTTATTATTGAATAACATTTCATTGTGTAGAACTACATTTATCAGTGACTGGACATTTGGGTTGTTGTATTATTTAGGTTATGAATAATATTGCCAAGAGCACCTTCATGTAAGTTTTTATGGACATTTTTTATTTCGCATGGAGATATTTCTCATGTTTCTCTTTTGGAGTTAATGTTCTTTTGGTTATGCAGCTTAAGGAAGAACGATGTTACAGCAAAGCCTCTTGGTTCTTTGGTGTTGAGAATATTGCCCTGAATCACAAAAATACTCTACCCAAACACAACAGGCGCACAACCCCCAAGCTCAACATTTGTTTCTGTAACTTTGGTACAGGACTTGACACTTTGATGAGAGTGGGCAGACGCACTAGTGCTTGAACTCAGTGTATGTATATGTACTCCTCCTTTAAAAAAGAAGAATTCTCAATGGGGAGCTTTAGTTCTAAATCCTGACACTGTGTTTTATAGAGAGAACTTTACTGTGCAGCTCACGGAGCCTTCCTTATCAAATGTAATTTATAGTTTTCAGAAGCTTTCTTCGTGAAAAACTCCACCCCAGGATTCTGTGCACTTGCTTCTGCTAGGCTGGTGACCAATGAGCAAGTGGGGTGGGGAAAGAGACTCTGAGTACAGTGAAAGTGTGGCCACAGATGAAAGTGTGGCTCCTTATAACAACTTTCCCAGGGCTTTTACAGGTGGACTTTGATTACGCCCAGGGTTAAAAATACAGATCAGCCTGACACCAGAAGGAGCAGATGGTGCAGCCAGGGGAGAATGCCATTTCCTTTGCAGGATCTGCCCCTGGGTGGTTTTACATCGAGCCAGCCATCTTACTGGAATAATGCCTCTGCATGTCTTCCGCCCTTGCCCTAATTGGAGTTCCATTTATGATCAATAGCTGATTTTGCTTTCTCTGCTTCTAGATCCTTACTAAAAGCTCTTGAAAGAGTACACATACAGGTCACCTAATAATTTCATTAGAGTCAAGATGACTCTTATCTAGAGAAATGTGGAATAGGGCACATCCCTTGATGGACTAAGTCCGACAAAATAGACAAAAATAAGGAAGTTGGGATTATCTTCTGTGTGTTTCTCTATTAGGAATCAAGCCCAAGAGTAGTCCTACCAGAAAGTTCCCTCCTGTGTGTGTGTGAATGTGTAACATAAGTGCACGTGTGCACACATGTACACACACATGCATTTTGGATGTTTTTCCTGCTAACATTGACTGCCAGGAATTTTGGGATTTGGAACTCTGGCCCTGCCTTGTTAATGAAAATTCTGTTTCCAAGTCCTAGGAGTTTTAAAAGACAGAGTGAGGTGAGGTTAAAAGACTTAACTTGAAGATTCAGATTCTTGACTGTAGGTATCTGGATGGTACCAAAACTCCTTGTACAACAACGGAGTATGTGAAGAGAGACTATGTAGGCTCATGAAATGTTAAGAGTTAGATGGATGAGACTTTGGGAATCATCTGTTTTTGTTTGTTTGTTTTGCTTTTTTTGAGACAGGATCTTGACTGGTCTCGAACTTGGGACCCTTCTGTCTCAGTTTCCCAAGTGTCATCCCAAGATGACAGGCATGTGCCCTCATACTTGCTACCTCCTCATTCTATAGAAAAATGAGATGAGAAATGGATGCTTAGCACTCAATAGCCTGAGTGATGAAAAGCCTAGTGAAGTGTTAATCATTTTCTGGGCTGGTCTCAGGGAAGGACTGGGAGTCTAGCAGGTCCTTACTTCCTGTTGTTCTGAATGAACTCATGTTCCTTCTGCAATTGTGGTTTCATGTCAAACTGAGATTACAAAGGGGAATGAGTCTTTAAGGTCAGTTTGCCAGAGAGAGAGCTGGCATTCATGTGTGGGCTGGGTCTCTTTCATCTCTGCTTTGCTTCTTTACAGTTTGAGAATGCACCAGAACTCAGATGTGTTCTGTTGTTTCTTCCTTTGGGTCTCCCTTTCCTGGGCAGCAAAGAGGCTGTTGTTGTCAGCCACGTAAACACAGATGAATAGGATTGTTTAATGATTGAGGATCAGTTGTCTGGGAGAACTGCTTCTGCCCCCTACCCTGACTGCATCCCACCCCACCTTATTACCAGACTAAAATCCTTCAGAGTTGTGGGAAGAAGGCCTATTTTAGGTGGAGTCAGCCACGCACTCACATGTATTGTTCACTGTACACACACTTCCAACTATGTGTTTCTACCCTTCCAGGAGGGAGACAGGGCATATGGGCTGGCTTTCCTCGCCCTGGAAAGCCAGTGAGCAGGGATTTGTTGAGGTGGCTACTGTTGTTTCAATAACATCTATTAAGATGTTAGCATTAGCTCAAGATGTTTCTAGAGCATTAAGAGTGGTATGTCAGCTGATCAGAAGTTTATCAATCCTTGACCTCCCATCCGCCTCCAGATAGAAACTCTGTGGTAGGAAGGCCACCTACCTCCTTGTTTCAGTCTTGTGGGGAATTTGCTTATTACACAGCAGGATATCAAGAAAAACAGGCTCTGGGTTTCATGAGAGTTCACTGGTCCGTATTTTCCCCCTTTACGTGCACCTTCAAGTCATAATAATTTGTGAGCTGATAATCTGGTTGGGCTATGACATTGGACTGGTAGGAGGCAGATAGATGGTTTCTTAAGAAACCAAAAGGAAGTACAGTAGATCTAGTCATTTGTTTGACATGTGAATACCTGTGCTGGGTGCTAGGCATACAGATGGTACAAAGAACAAAAAGGGCACAGAACTTGCCCATGTGGAGTCAGCAATCTAAGGGAATACTCAAAAGTTAATTTGTGATGGTACTGGAGGATTCCATTGAGCCCAGTAGTCTCTTAGCCTGAGTGTCTGACTTTGTCACTGATTTCTTTGTTATCCAAAATTGAACAGTTTTTTTGTTGCTTCCGGGATTATAAAATATGATGTTGGGAGTCGCTGCAGTTCATGACCTATGTGTGCTTTTTAAAAAGCCCATCTTTGAAAGAAGGTCTGCTCTTCACAGGTACTGTCATGCTCTTTCTTCTAGGATGACACATGAGCAGCAGCAGCCTGACTTCAGAGTCTTTGGTGCTGTTGTCATCTGAATAGGAGGGATAATGGAAGGTGATATTTAGGTGACAAGGTAAAGAGCTTTTCAAGTGAAGAAACCATTATAGGCCTGGGGGTTTAGTTCAGCAGCATAAACACCTGCCTGGCAAGCATGAGGTGGGGAGTTTGATCTCTGGTACCAAAAAAAAAAAAAAAAAAAAAAAAAAAAAAGCGTTAGAACTCATTTGATGATTGAACAATATTTATTTGTTTATTTGTTTGTTTGGTGGCCCTGGGGATCGAACCTAGGGCCTTGTGCATGTTAGGCAAGAACTCTTATCACTGAGCTGTATCCCACCCAAATTGAACAAGTTATGTATTGGACAACCTTCCCATATAGTTGTCTACCCACAGGGATTTTTTGCAACACACAGTTTAACACTTTATTTGCATTTTAAAAATTGTTCTCTAGTGTTTTGCTTAGTCTTTTCTCATAGATTTCAAAACCTTGAGGATGGTGTAAGTTTTCTGTGTTTAATATGCAGACTGAGTATTCATATTAATAGCAACAAAAGGGTTTTCATTTTACAGTCATCTTATGTAAAACTGTTGGCCCTCTGGACTTTGGGTTCTGAATCCACGGATTTAACCAGACTTGGGTTGATAATTTTTGGGGAAAAAGTAGTGTCTGTACTGAATAACATGTGCAGAAATTTTTCTTGTCCTTATTCCCTAAACAAGAAGAAAAGAATTATTTGCATAGCACTTAACTTATATTGTATAAGGTCTTATAAGTAATTAGAGTCCTGCATGCTGCCCTGAGTCAGGCATTGTCTGGATCTTCATCTGACCATCCTGCAGCAGGTGTGTTCGGACTGGAGCAGCAGTGCTGAGTGTGGAGCCCACCTGAAATGCCATTTGCAAAAGGAAGCTATCTTTGCCTCAGAGTTTATGAAGGTTCCTAGTGGTGCTTCCCTTCCTTTTTGTTCTGTCAGGGGACTGCAGCATTTTCTGTAGGCCAGGCTTCTCTTCTCTTTATCTGCTGTTGTTTTTTCACAGATGAAGATGATCTCTGTGGGCAGTGAGAGGTGAGAAGTGGCGGTCCTGCCTTGTGCCAGGCAGTTTAGAGCTGAAGGAATATGAAGTGGTGCTCCTGTTGTGCCAGGGTGTGTTTGGACACAGTTTTTCCCATTTACCTGGGAGGATGGAGGAATAGGACTGGCTGTGCATCAGACAGTTTCCTGTTTCCTGTGTGTGGTGGAAGTGGACAGTTTTAGGGCTGTGTGCTTGGTGGGAGGCAAGTGGCAAGCAGTAGGCTTTGCTGTCAGTGGCCTAGTTTCAGCCTCAGCTCTGCCACTCAACAGCAGTGCTTGGAAGCAGATTTACCACTTTGCTCCTCAGTTTTATCATTTGTAAAATGGAAGTGTTAACATTACCTATCACTGGAAGGATAATTACCAAAAGATTAATGATTACTGGGTCAAAAGTAAAGAGAACTGTAACTTCTTAAACTTTTTGTGTCATTTGAGTTTCTCATTGTTCGGATGTTAATTTAAATAATTTATTAAAAATTATATTTAAGGGTGCCTCCTTATAGAATTGTTATGAAAATCAAATGAGATGGAATATTTAAAATAGAAGGCACAGTCCTGACAACTAGAAGATACCGAGACAGCAGTTTGGGGGAAAAGTGATATTAAGCAGGGTGTGGTGGTAGACATCTGTTATCCTAGCACTCTGGGACCCTGGGGCAGGAGGAATGCAAGTTTGAGCCCAGCCCAGGCAATGTAGTGACTTATCAAGAACCTGTTTCAAAATAAAAAAGAAAGAAAGAAAGAATAAAGGGTTGAGGATGTAGCTCAGGTAACAAACCCTTGGGTCAATCCCCAGCTTTCAAAAACAAACAAAACAAAAAAACAAAAACCTGCCATCAGCAGCTGTCCCCTGCACTTGTCCTTTTGGGATTTCTGTCATGGTGCATTACTAGGGCTAAGTCTCTGTGCTAAAACTTAAGAGCCAGTGTCTCCCCCTGGAAGTGGAGGATAGCAGTGTGTAACGTATACCCAGTGGGTTTTGAGGATTAAATGAGGTGAGGTGTGTCATGCCTTCACCTGGTGTCTGAGACACAACGAGTGCTTAGTAAATAAGCTGTTATTCTTATGACTGTGCTTGAATTGAGGAGGAGTTGTATCTACCTAAAATTTAATGGACATGTTGCTATAAACATTGGTATGTGTGTACTCTTATCACTGTAGTACAATGTCCACATAATTCAAAATAGCTTAATCTTGGAAGCAGCCTATATGTCCATCAACAGATGAATAGACACAGAAAATGTAGGATAAATATGAGTGCTTGTAGGAAAATGGATATACTTGAAAACGTAACAGTAAATGAAATAAGTCAGACACAAAATTAAATACAACATGGTTTCTTTCATATGAGAAATATAAAGTATGACTAAGGAGCAAAACAAAAGATACAAAAAGAAACAAGGAGATCTATTGCAGCTGGGAAGGAGACCAAGAGGTGGCGAGGGAGGGGAGAAGAGTGGGAGAAGGTGATGTGAAAAATAATGAAGATGTGTCAGTACGTGTACCACATACCCACAATAAAAGTAGTCATGTATCACAAGCATGTACTAATAAATAGGTTTTTAAAAACTTACTGAAAGTGAAGCAGAGCAGTCGGTCAGATATTGGATTACAGCAGACGCCCATGTGGTCTGAAGTCTGTGCTGGCTCTGTTGGAGTTGGCGAGGGCAAACCTGGAAGTGTTGCAGGGGGCGGTACAAGAGTACTGGCCGGCGCTGCAGACTGCAGGATGCCAGAGCCCTGCAGTCTGTGCAGAGGGTTAACGAGGGTCAGTGTGTTTGATGAGGCCAAGGCCGGCCTTGAAGCTCATCCTTCCCCAATTTCAGGGCAGATAGACCGCATCCTGAGTGGTGGGTTGAGGTGGGGCTTGTTTCCTCGCTGCTCTGTTTTCTTTTGCATCCTCCTGGGTTGGGAGGTGGCAGTTCCCTTGTGCTACTTCCCTTGTGGTTCAGTTCTTAGAACCTTCAAGGCTGCTTTCTCTGTGAAGCTGTTCCCCCCGTTACAACTACACCATGTAATTTTTTTAAAAGAGAAAAAACAATGATACAGAATTTGAAAACAAGAAAATAGGAAATTAACAATGGTGAAATATTATTATCTTCAATGGTGTTGCTCAGATTATAAGACATAAGTATGAAGAATTGATCGAACTATATAAACACAAATCTTTTCATTGAACTAATAGAAAGTAGTAAGTGTACTTATCTTAGTTACCTTGTGTGTGTATGTATATATATATATATTTTTTTCCTTTTTTTTCCTTTCTCCATTCCCATTGGTCTTTCCTTTTGAACAGTTTCTTCCCCTTTCATAATATCTATTGTAGATTTTGGATCTTCAGTTTTTTACACTAGAAAGACAATACGAAGTTTACACATGCAAGTTTGATTTATTTCACTTACAAGTATGGTCTCAATTTGCATCCACTTACTAATAAAAGCCTCAACTTTATCCTTCTTTATAGCTGAGTAACACTCCATTGTATAGAAATATTGCATCTTTTTTATCCAGTTGATGGGCATTTGGGTTGTTTCTAAGATTTAGCCTTTACAAACTGTGTTGCTATAAACATAGTTGCACATTTCTCTCTGTGGTATGATGTTTTTAATTCTTCTGAGAAAATACCCTGATAGGGAATAGCTGGGTCAAATGGGACCTCTAATCCTATGTTTTAAGAAATCTCCACACTGATTTCCAGTGGTTGTACCAGTCTATACTGCTACCAACAGTGGAGAAGAGTTGCTTTTTCCCCATAGCCCTGCCAGCTTTTGTTACTGGTTGATTTCTTGATGATAGCTATTCTTTCTGGGGCAAGATGGAATTTCTGTTGTTTTAATTTGCATTTCTTAGATGAGCAGTGATGTTGAACGCTTTTTTGTATATTGCCATTTGTATTTTTTCGTCTGAGAAGTGTGTATTCATCTCAGATGCCCAATTTTGAATTGGATCTTTAATTTGAGGGGCTTGATTTTTTTTCAGTTCTTTATATTTTCTTTATATTTTCCTTTTGTTTGTTGGAAAGTTGGCTAAAATTTGTTCCCACTTTGTGGATTTTTTTTTTCACTCTGTTTACAACACATAATTCTGTGTGTTCTCTTCTCCTACATCCCGGCAGGTCTGCACAGGACAGGCACAACTTTTACAGAGAACACCTTCTTATTCACTTTGGCCATGATGTTCAAACAGCTCCTGTGATTCTTTGCTTGTTTGGGAGACTGAATAGCAGAACTGAAGCCATTCTTAGTGGGAAATAGGTTCTGAGCTTTGCTATAGGCTTCAGTTCTGTATATTCACATTTTGAGAGAAAAAAAAAAAAACTTGAATGATTTCAGCCAAGTACAGTTTCCAGAAAGCAAGAGATTCTTGTCTCCAAACTCTGTTCTCATGCCAGAACTGATTAAGTCCTAAGCTCCCCACCTTTGGTGTCCTTTTTCTTTTTTTTATTAAAAAATATTTTTTGAGGGAGGGGTCTTGCCATGCAGTCCAGGCTGGCCTTGAGCTCACTATGTAGCCCAGACTGTCCTAGAACGCATGGTTAATCCTCTTGCCTTCTGTTTTCTGAGTGCTGGAATTGCAAGTGTGAGCCACGATGCCTGGCCCACCTTTCTTTTTTTTTTTTTAGTATACTTCTCACCTTTGCTCTTTACATTCTTTTCTTATCACACATTTCCACATGTGGCCCACTTCCTTCCGTTTTCATAGGAATCATGAAGTACTTACTAATTGGGGACAAATATAGGCAATGTAATGCCGAAAGTTTTATTAGCCTAAGTTTGTACAGTGGACTGAAAGGAGTCTGTGTATTTGTATAGACTCTTGCATATCATAGTTTTTGTAGTTCATTTAACTGTGGAGTTATTTCATCTCCTGTTAGTGGGTACTGGGTTCACAGTCAGTTATTCTCAGCAAGAGCTGAAAAACAGAAGAGGGAACCTGTCTTTTCATACTTAATAGTAAGCAGGTGATCTAACCTTTTTAGTTATTTAGCTATTATCAGTCCTGATGGCTTGGGTCTTCTGAGGGTCTTAGAGCCTTCATAGAAGGGATCTTTTTACTCTTAGCTAATAGCCGGGTATGATGGTGCGTGCTTGTAATCCCAGCACTCTGAGAGGCTGAGGCAGGGATGATCACAAATTTAAGCCCAGTCTGGGTGATTTAGAAACTTAATGACACCTTGTGTCAAAATATCAAAATAAAAAGTAAGAAAGTGGGCTGAGGGCATATTTTGACTTGAAGGCTCTGAGTACTGAGGGAAAAAAAAGACAAGTGGAAAAGCTGTCCACCCGACCCCTACATTATAGTCCCTTTATAACGGTTGTTGAGGACCTTTACTATGTTTCTCTAATATTCCTTAAGTTCTTAAAAATAGTCTTGTTTAAATTGATCATGATTTTAAGGGTGATGACAAAGTTTTAGAGAAACTGCTTGTAAAGGAACCAAGTTTTAGATTTATTTCAGAGCTAATCATTAATTTACAGGAACAGCTTCAGGACTCCAGGGAGAGAGGCATGGCACACTGCCTGGTAGCTGTCATCAAGGATGCCACTTTTGGGAACCGTATTGTAGGCTGTCCCTAGTCTATGTAAAGTTGTGCTTGGGCCTTATCAGAAATGAAGCAGATGGAATTTCTAGTAAAACTGGCAGATGTTCTTGGTGTCAGAATTAATTAAATTATTTTTACATATAAATGTGGGATTCTGCGATTTCTTATGGTTGGGGGTGGAGGGGCTGCCCATACCTTACAGAGACTTTGTGACTCTGAACTCTGTTTTCTCATCCCTTCTAATTACTTTGTGTCTCCAAATGAGTCATTTGTAGGGGACAAGTGCAGAATGTTAAGTCCCCTTGCTGGTGTAAATCGAAGGTTGCAGATGGGACCTTGTGTTACTACCATATCTTTGGTGACTACAGTGGCCATTGTTTGGGTCCCTTCTGGGATTTAGCTGGTATGACACCTAAAAGAGTGACTACAGGGGAGTTGTAGAAGAGAAAGCTAAATCCCCTGGGGTGTGGGACAAGGCAGGAAGTTACTAAGTGCTTGGTACTGTGCTAGGTGTTCTACTGCAGGGGGCTGGTCTTCACTTTATAGAACAAGATACCAAACTGCAACACCAAGTACTGTAATCTATTGCATTGGAGCTGGGACCAAAGTGGGACAGATTCTAAAGCCTGTGTTTCCTTCATGGCAGATAAAGTATGCAGATTAAAAAGTTGGAGTGGGGCTGAGGTGATGAGGGAGAGAAGAGGACAAATGTCTGGCGGAGAAAGGAAAGTAGGGAGGTGAGAGCTGCCACGGAGGGGTGTTAGGAGTGGAGGGGCCTGGTGTGGAAAGGAAAGGTCAGGAAAAACATGCTCAAGTGGGAGGAGAGGGGTTGCTGTGTCTCTGAGGAAGGCAGTGTTGGATGATGGCATCTTTCCTAAAGAAAGCTTCCTAGGGTTTACTTGGACCAGGAGGACCAGATAGCTTCTGTACTGAGGCAGGTGGCAGCTGAGGCCCCACAGGAAGCCTTTTAATCCCTGGTATTTATAGACTGGCATGTGCTGTACTGAAAGGCTACTCACATTTCAGTTTGCAAGGCAGCGTTATCTGCCTTTGAAATGCTGCCTTTATGGATCCCCATTTGGCTGGGTTGGAGGGCTTGGGGAATGTTGGTGCATTACCCTGATTCCCTGCTGCCTCAAAGGTCATTCGGGGACAGTTCAGACATTTCACTCTAAGTGACCTCTGCTCTGCTGGCTGTTCCCTTTCCTCAGGGGTGAGTCAGGCCTGGGAAAGGTAGCCCTCTCATCTCTGTTCAAGTTGGCCAGCAATGCCCACGAATTTGGATTATGGTTTGTTCCCCAGTGTCTCACTATGAAGGTAGGGTTGCTCTGCTTACAGCTTGACCAACCCTCCAGTCAGTCTAATTTAATTAACATTTACTTTCTGAGCATCTGTTAGTTGCGTATGTGTTGGGGTGTTGTACAGGGATGACAGAGAGAGGTCTCTGACCTGCTGCGGGAGACTGATAAGTAAATACCTCCTATGGTCTGGCTAGTTTCTTTTCATTGTAGCAAGAAATGTTCATATACTTTGAATCATTCTAACTTAATGGTTTTGGTGAAGCTTGAATGTAGCTACAACGAATTGAGACTGCTGTGAAGAGTATAGCTCTACATTCAGATAGTGTTTTTAAAAGATAAACCTGATAATGAATGCTAATATGTTTGGAGTGCTTTCTGTGTGTCAGACACATTTAGTGTTTTGTATTCATGAACTTATTTAATTTTCACAGTACCTTTGAAGCAGGTTGCTTGTTTGTACCCAGTTTTCAGTTAGAAGAGGATTTAAAAGTTTGCTTATGCTGGCATAGCTGATAGGTTGCAGAGTCAACCCCACTGAACTTCTGGCCACATGCTGGCCCTTGTAAGGACCTCCTGGATGTCAGGTTATGCAGGCGGTCCCACCCCAAGGGGGGCAGCCACTAAGGACTTACCCTCAGGGATCAGGAAGGAACAGAGGAAGGTCAGGCTATTGCCTAAGAAAGCATCAGCATTTCTGCACAACTTAATTAAATTACTAGAACGATTTCCAAGCTTGGAGCCATCTTTTTTTGAGAATAATACAATTGAAATAATTTAACCTGAAAAGGAAGGATGAAATTAGTGAGCTCACATATGTGGATGGATACTAAGCTATGCTTATTAAAGCACAAAGAGGCACAACTGTAAAAAGTGAGTGTACCTCAACCCAGTGTATGAATAAGTGCAGACAACATGCTTTGTATTTGGACTCAATTCATTAAAGCTGGGTGTGGTGGCACACGTCTATAATGCCAGCTACTCAGGAGGCGAAGGAGGAGGCTTGGA